CTTGGGCAAGTCATTGCTTGTTTTTGTTTTTTCCTCTTCCCCCTTCCTATGCTTTGGCTGCACTCCACAGGTATTCCTGGGTACAGCTTGCAGCAGGACTGCACAAGGTTCATGGCTGCTGAAGGTTTCTGGGAACTTTGTATCATAATCACGTAGCAGAAAACATACCTGCATGGAGTGTGTGCACGTCCCTGCATGCAGGGTGAGATGTTGGAAAGCTGCTGGGCAAGGCCATGTACCACGTGGGTGCTTATCCAGGGTCTGATCTGGTGGGTCTACAGCATCAGATGAAACTTTTACAGACTGTGGCAACAGAAATGGTAGAAGAAAATAACGGGTAAAGGTTTTATTATTTAATATTATTATTATTTTTAAACCATTTCCAAGCCTAATGGTTGATACAAGCAGCCAATATTCTCAGCAAAATCAGCTATGAAAATTAAGTTGAATATTTGCTCTTTGGAATCTGCGCTGACTCGGGCTGGGCTGCCTTACTCTTGGTGGGTTTCTGCCCTGATGGGGTTTGTTCCTATGGCTGGGTTCAAGTTTGCCCTGGACTGGATATTTGCCCAGGTTAGTGTGTTGCGGTGCAGTGTGGAGTTGGATGCATGTGTTCTGCACAGTGGCATTTAATTATTCAAGGCCTTTTAATATATGCAATAGGCAAGAGGATTGCATTAAACAAAGCTTTGGGGGAAAATTGTTAAGGGAATGGGTGGCATTTGTTCTAAATATGTTAATTGGCTTATAAATTGGGAGAAGATGTTCTGATTGACAGCTAGCCTAAATGAGAGCGCAAATGAAAAACGGAGGCAGGTTCCTGCTTGGGATTTCTCTTTTCTTTTGCAGTGAAATGGTAGAAATCACATTGGAGGTGAGTGGGAAAGAGGTAAGCTCGTTGTGCCAGAGCTCCCAGTCCCAGCTGTAGGTGGAGGAAAGGGTGTCACTGGTGGCCCCAGCTAAAGAAGGGGCTCCCGCTGGGCTCGTCCCTGCGCTACTCAGCCTGGAGCTGGCTGAAGGGAATACTGTGAGTCAGTGCTTCTCCTTGGTTATTTGAGGGCTGCTAACGTGTTCTTCTGAAGGATGAATTAAGGACTAGCTGGATCTGCACTGTTGCACTGAAGCCATAAATCCTGAACACTTTGCAGTCATGCCCTTTAGGGGCACTCGGTTTGGGCGTCTCGGTGCCAAAGCAAAGTGAAAGGAGATTGGGTTGGGTCAGGTGCCTGAACCCAAACAGTTCAGCAGAAGTCTTGGGTCAGAAGTGAGCAACAGGCTATATCATCACCAGCAAAACTGTCGAGCTGGTTACAAGCAGTCATGTGTGGTCAGGTTTGGTGGGAGATGAGCGAGAGCTCATGCTGGAGCTCCCTGCAGAGCCAGGCGTTGGATGGAGGGTGGTCAGTCTGGTGGTGTCTCACGTGCTGGATCTGCAGAAGAGGCTGTTGGACGCAGCCGGACCACATCCCCAGAGAACTGCCTTGTTTTGCTGACTGTCTGGAACCTGATGGCTCTGAGGAAACCCGTGCGCAGAGCACAGCCTCTTTCAAAGTCATGAACCCAGCAGCGAGATCACGACTGCTCCGGCGTGGGCAGGAGCCCAGGGGCACAGTCACTGAGCACAGAGAGCAGGGGCTCCATTTAGGAAGAAGGCATCAATAAATACATAATGTACCAATATTTCATTTACATCACGTTGCTGGGCCTCAAGAATCCATCCCTTTTAATGGGCATAAGTGAACCCACTTTTGACTTATATTTCAGCATTTCCATTATGAAGAGATTTTTTTTTTTAAAGAAACCTTTCTGCTTCCAAAAGCGACGCTCAGTAAAGAGCAGCTGCAGAAGGAATTGGTTTGACCTCTGCTTCCTTAATTGCTTTTTGCTCTGTGTTGGCCTGGAAATGGATGTTGTTATTGTGCGAATTACTGCAATGGTGGAAAAAAGAGCTCATGAGATCAGGTGTGCAGTTTCCATCAGGAAAATAGGTTTCTTAAATGGAAAGCGATGCCTACCTGTCCATAACCAGAATCTGGGCCAGCCTGAAGAAGCTGAATGGTAATTTTGTGCTTCTGAAGGGTTTTGCAGTTACTGTTTTTTGAGGCCAAGAGCACATTTAAAGCTAGTCTGAAGGCCTTTCAGGCAGGCGAAGGGGTGCAGCCGTCAGCTGCTGTTGGCACAGGCCTCAGGCCCGGGCTGGGTGCCTCGCTGCAGGTCTGTGTCCTTGCAGGTTCCCGTGTCAGATCTTACCTTATGGAGCAGGTTTCCTTCCCAGAGCAGGGTTTGCCCCAAGAATAATGCACAGCTGTTATGACCTGAAACGTTGGCATTTTTGAATCATGTCTGAGCACCCAAGAGTGCTCGTGAGCACATTGCAGCAAGGGAATGAGTGAACAGCTTTGGAGCAGACTGCACGCGTGCCCTGAATGGCGTGTGAGTAGGGTGGTGGAAGAGGACGGCCGGTGTGTGTGAGCCGTCTTCAGGGCTCCTCAGCTGTTGGACCAAGAGAAGAGGTCACAGCGGCAGCAGAAGCACAACAGAGCAGCTGTGGTGTTGGCGAGGGCTGAGGGCCCCTGCGCGCCGCTGGGACTGGAGCCCTGGACACCCTGCACTGACCCGTTTGCACACCCAAGGTGCAGCCACCAGAGACATGGGTTTCCTTTTCAGCTTTTCTCACTTGTGTTTATGGACTCTTACAGTTTTTCTTCCTGAGCGGTTCTTGGAAGAACCAGTGACAGTAGCAGGGGGAAAAAATGTTCTTGAACATGATCAGAGAAAAGGTTATTTACACAGTGCAAAATTTAGCACCTTTTCCTCGGTAAGGTCCTTACAGCAGATGCAAGCATCTGACCATCAATACATTTGCTCAGCAAATGTTGGCTATTTAAAGAGTAGAAAAAAACCAAATAGCCTTCAGGAAAGGCATGGCCTGGAATTTTAAAGATCTATGAGTTGCTACATGAATCTGGATTTTTGGCACATGAAGACATCTTATCTTGTAAGGCAGCTGCCTTGGTGAAGATGCAAGTTAGTAAACACAGGGTGGATTATAGCACCATGATTAAGTGGGTCATGATTAAGCATTTAGTCTTGAAGCTCCCGTCATAAAAGTCAGAAAATCTCTTCCTTGTTCTTCAGCAATAAGTCTGCAGCTGTGCTATCTAAACTAGTTAATGATGGAAGCAACAATGCTTGTGTAATTAGCACATTAATACCCTAAGGAATCCGCATGGTAATTACCTGCAACGATGAGACTATCATGCACATTCTTCAGCAGGGGTGATGATGAGTCCTATGGATTCCAACAGTTTCATTAGAATGAAAAAAAAAAAGACTTTAATATTCAAAAGGTAGAATTTTGAACAAGACACTCTAAGTCACAGGAATCCAACATAATTGGATCAACACTATAATCACTGGTGCCCGTATTTAACACATCTACTTATTTTACAATCCTGACATGAATTATTTCTGAAGAATTTGTATGCATGGGATATTCTGCTCCTGCTAATTTAAACTGTGATTAATCGATGGCCTTTAGGACATTATGGTTTGAATCACTTGATATCGTCTCCCAGGATTGGGCTGCTGCTTCTTGTTGTCTTGAAATACAGAAGGAAAAAAAAAAAAAAAAAGAAGGAAGAAAATCAGCCTATGCAAAAAAAAAAAAAGGGGAGGTATTTGGGTTGGAGTACTCCTGTGTGCTTTTTAGCATAATATTTTATCATAATGTTTGTTTTCTTTAGGATAATAAGTCGTACCAGGACATTTAGCATAGTCATGGCAGCTACGTTGGTGATCCATTACCTTGTAGGAGAGCTCGTTTATAACTATGACAGGATGTATGCTACTTAGATGGATGCCTTAAACCTCCTCCCTGCACACTCCTAAGATGCCCATTCTCGTTAAAACCAACCTGTCACTTTGTGTTGGTGCTTCTGTGGAGGTGCCTGTGGGAGCTGGTGGCATTGCCCCCAGAGCGGTACCAGTCAGGACAGACTCGGGCTTCCTAACACAATGATGTGCCTTGACTTCATTTCTACAGCTTTAAAGATGAACTTGAAATGCTCCAAGTTTTAATGTATTTTTTAGTGCGTGAAATTGGAGGAAAGATTGGGCAAGGTTTGGGATTGGGGATGCAGGCTGCCTTCCCTCTGACCCTGCTCTGGCTCTGCCAGCCTGTGCCCGGGTCGCACAGGGGATTTGGATCCCCTGCTGACATTTGTTCTTAAAAGTCCCTGCCTTTTGTGAGCAGGTTTTTAATCCTTCCTCGTGGAGCCGGTGCCTGCGGATATGCTGGCTTTGGCTCACACAGCCTGTTTGCTCAACTTCCTAATGTGCCGAGGCAGGGCTTTGCTCTGAGAAACGCGCAGTGCTCTCGCTCCTGACCGCGGCGTGCTCAGCATCATCCAGCATCGGGACCGTAGTTACAGCTTGTTGCTCTCTGCAACTTTTTGCTCCATGAGATGAGGCCGATCGAAAGGCTGGGTGCTCAGTGTATGTCTCCCTTCAGTTTCTTTCCTGGGCATTTAATATTGCTGTAGTGACAGTTATGGAAAACTGCTGCTTTGTGAATGTCCCTCTGGCAACATGGTCCACCGGTGATTCGTGTTCGTGAGCTGGGAAAGGCAATGGTTATTGTTAGCAGTGAGAGGAAAGCAACACGAAACATTGCTTGCTCGTTTGCCCAGGTGCATGTTGACCACATTGTTATACTGAGGGAGATGGTTCAGCCTTTCTTCACACAGTGCAATTCTGCTTCACCTCTTCACGCTGAACATCATGGTAGCGAGCTGTGATTTTGAACATCCCATTTATTTAAATTATATTTTAATGTGTGGTGCAGCTTATTTTATTCTTTCCAAACTACCGCTTAGGTCTCGCTGGCGTTTTTGAGGCACTACGTTGAGCACCAGCGGTTCCGAGTGGCCCCGGGGCGCTGGGCTCCCCAGGCTTGCTGCACACGGGTCTTGACCCATCCCCGTCTCTTCTCTCCCCAGTGTATGGCCACAACGTGAAGAGCAGCAACGACTTCATCGGCAGGATCGTCATCGGGCAGTACGCCACGGGCGCCCCCGAGTCCAACCACTGGCGCCGCATGCTGGGCTCGCACCGCACGGCCGTGGAGCAGTGGCACAGCCTGCGCTCCCGGCAGGAGTGCGACCGCGTCTCCCCCGCCTCCCTCGAGGTGACCTGAGCATCAGGACGCCGGGTGGAGGAGGAAAACTAAAAAACAAACAAAAAATCCCCCAACCCTCCCGAGAAGAGTGGAATCCCACCCGCGCCCCGGCATGCACCCTTCGGCCCCGTGCGGTGCAGCGGCAGCCGCCAAGCGGGCTGGGACTGGGAGTGGGGCCGGGGGGTTCCAGCCGGGGGCCGGAGCCCGCAGC